GGGACGCAGTTCGAAAACGGGGACTTTTGTTTGACCTCCGTGTGTCTGTGCACAATCAAACTTCACACATACATTATACATGATATTATACATATGCACGTCAATTTGTTTCACGATCTTATTTAAGATGGCCGAATGGCGGCCATTTTTGTGCTAAAAATCATCAAAATCAATTTCCCAGCTGTTTATAGATGGATTTTGTTCAAACCTTGTATATACGTTGGACATTATAGGACCTTGATGCACAACATGTTGTGTTACGATCTGATTTAAGATGGCCGAATGGCGTCCATTTTTGTGCTGAAAAATCCTAAAAATCCAGCATTTCTCGGCTGTTTACAGATGGATTTTGTTCAAACTTTGTATATACATTAGACATTATGGGCCCTTCATGCAAATAATTTTGTAAAATTCAAAATGGCCGGCTGGCGGCCATTTTGTTTTAATGAATGTGGTTCTCGTGCCATATCTCTGACTTGTTTTGACTGATTATGTTCAAATTTTAAATATTCATTATACATCATGTCATAGATAAACAGATATATTGGTTCGACGATCATATTCAAAATGGCCGAATGGTGGTCATTTTTGTGCTAAAAAATCAATTATCAAGCATTTCTGGCATTTATGGATGGATTTCAGTCAAACTTGTTACATACATTAGACATTACTGGTTCCTGATGCACGTCATTTTATTTGTCAGATTGGATTCAAAATGGCTGACTGGCGGCCATTTTGTTTTAATGATTGGGCTTCTAGAGCCATGTCTCTTAAATGCTTTGACTGATTATGTTCAAATTTTATATATTCGTTATAAATCATGTTATTTATATACATGTATTCAAAATGGTTGATTTTGAATGCTGTTCCAGAGCAATATCTCTCAATATAGACAAGTACTTGTTTGATGATCAGATACAAATGTCAATCATTTTAATGTTAAAAAATCATATTTCTGACATGGTTATATTCCAGCTATATTACTATAAACAAAACTATATACAAATGTATCTTAAATTTGATAACTAACAGGGACTGTGCCATGCATGGCTTGTTATTTAAAATGTACATAGAACAACATCTGTTAATTTAAACAATTGTAAAAGCTATGTTTTCAGAGCAAGTACATGTAATAATTAAGAAAAACAGTAGCAATAAAGGTTGGTCTGCTCATAACCTTCAATGGAGAAGTAACAATAATTGTTTGAAGTCTTTTTAGTGCAGTGATATTATTACATTTCAATCATTATTAATGGTATAAAATACAGTAAACCATTTAATTTTCACTTCTAGATATATTCAGGATTTTATGAAATTTGTGTACAACATTTCAATAAAGTCCCTGACAACTCCATGTTGTAGGAACCCAGAAAAAATTGCCTTGCGAAATTGAAGCAGTTCACAGCACCATTGTGAAAAATACAAAAAAAATACAGTAGAACGTCGATTATCCGTACAGTTAGAGGGACATGCTTTTTGTTCGGTTATGCAAACAGTTGGGATATGCGATCTGGGTGGGGTCAAATTTACAGGCTCACATACACACAAATTCTAACGTACACATGACTGTAATGAAATCAAACAATAGCACATGGGAGTATGTCATTTTTATTTAATCAGTTGCAATTTTAAAAAGTAACACATTGTAATAAAAATGTTGCACACAGGAATGTTAAAAAATGTTTCAAAGTGTCCGTAAAATGTAGCCATAATAATAATAATAATAAAGCGATAATAAAGCAATAAACATTAATGTTGTCTTATCTATACTGTGTATTAACACGAAAACAGTTCAGAGTTTTTAGCTCCGCTGTCGACTTTGTCGAGCAGAGCTTATCATATGAGTGATTGTCCGTCGTCG